AGGCTCTTGCATGATACAGGTTGATCTAAAAACAGGCAGCCGCGACCTTGAACGTAGATGCTTCCGGTGGCCTCTCTTTAGATACTTTCCCTGCCAAGTTCTGCTGTCGTGGGAATTCCCTCCATGGGAACGCCCTCGGTCCGACTGGAGTTGGCAACGTCTCCAGGCAGTGCCTGGCTTTCAGGTTTGAAATACGGCCTGTGGGAAGACCCAGCATCAGAAGGTCGGGATTCTGGTCCCACCCCTGTCACCTATTGGCTTATGTGATCTTGGATTTGCTTCTCACCCCTCCAACTTCCTCATCATGAGCCTTAAATAAGAAGGAAGGAAGAAAGGAAGGAAGGAAGGAAGGAAGGAAGGAAGGAAGCAAGGGAGGGAGGGAGGGAGGGAGGGAGGGAGGGAGGGAGAGAGAGAGAGGAAGGAAGGAAGGAAGGAAGGAAGGAAGGAAGGAAGGAAGGAAGGAAGGAAGGAAGGAAGGAAGGAGAGGTGTTTCAGGAAGCTCCAAACCATGTTATGAAAGCAAAGGAATTTGGTCATTAACAAGCTCTCCTTTCTGAACTCTGTGCTCAGGGTTGTACTTGGTTTGCTGACACACCAGGAGCCCCGCATTCATATTCTCTCTCTCTCTCTCTCTCTCTCTCTCTCTCTCTCTCTCTCTCTCTCTCTCTCTCTCTCTCTCTCTCCCCTTTATCCAGAAGTTCATTCTTTCTATTTGCCACCTTTCTGCCAAGCAGCACCAACACCCTCCTCTGGGAATCATTGCCTCCGCATGTTCCCCTCCCGGTGCCAGAGTGGCTGTTGACAATGTGTAGCCAGGCAAGGCCGGGCCCCCTGCCTCTCTCTGTCAGATGCCACGCACGCTGCTTCCTGCTTCTGTCAGAACAATGAGCATTCACTCCGGCTTCACTCGGGAAGACCTGCGGTGAGTGGTCGGTGTAAATTATAGATGTGTCTGTCCAGCTGGACCTGCTCATTCATGCAGAGATTGGGGGGATGTCATTCTTCTCGGTGCCTAACAGTCCCTAACACATCTGCACTTACACAATATAATCTAGCACATTTTTCACCGATGTTATTGTGCCCCGGTGCTCGCATGTTCTGTCTCTGAGGCGTTTGAAGTTGACTGGGGGCGTTTCTGGCTTATGCCCGCCCCCTTTCCCGGGAAAATCTGTTATCTTTATGAATCGGTAGGAAATATGGACGTTTAACCCAAAATAAACACAGTAGGATTTCTTTTCGTGTGTGTGTGTGTGTGTGTGTGTGTGTGAGATACTTGCATTCAAGTTTATTGTCAAAGACACATCCTTTCCTCTGCTGGCCGGGCCCTTCCATGCCCTTAAGCAAAGCAACGTGGAAATAAACAAAGTGGACTATTAATACGCTCTGCTCCAAATGGGCCTTTGATTGCTTACTTTGTTCCATATTTGTTTTAATGAGCAGCTGGAGGAAACGCCAGGGCATGCGGCTCGATACCATAAAAGACTCTGTATCATTGCTCGAAACATATTAGCTTAATTGACTCCCTTCACTACCGCGGGGAGGGTCTGTAGTGGAGAGGTCTATTTACTTGCTTCCATAAAAGTCTCTGGGTACACATACACCACTGGGCATTTTTCCCGAAACTAAATGAATCACGGCGGAACAGAGCCATAAACAGCCAGCGTGGCTGAGACGCTCAGGGCCCTCGCGAGGAAGCCGAAAGGGGCAGCCTTTCCAGGAAACAGGCCGCCTTTCCCCTGCGCTTTCTGCCAGATAGAGGTCCATACCGGCTTAACCTCTGGCTTGGTTTTGTTCTGGGTCCCAAATGGGGCCCCGACATGATGGGAGGAATAGGCACACTCCCTCGGAACCAATCGCAGGAAACCCCACAAAGTGTTCCAGGTGGTGGCAACCCCATGTCAGTGGCCCAGGGTAGGTTTCGCTGTGGGTGCAACCTCTCTCCCTGGGAAAGAAATATCCAGCCGGGGTCTCCCACGCCTGGAACAGGGAGGCTCCACATCCTGGTACCACGAAGCAACGAGGAAGACAGGAGGAAGGCTCCTGGACATGACGCCCCTTGTGCATGGAGGTTTGGTTTTTTGTTTTGTTTTTCTGCACAAGAAGAAAGTAAGCTGGGGTATCTTCAGAGCCCGACGCCCCAAGTTACTTCACCACTGTTCCTCCTCCTCCTCTCTTTTTCTTTTGAAGCATCATGTTGCTTTCCTCTAATCCCAGACAGCAAAGCCGAGAGGGAGGCCTGCAGGCCCTGTGCACGGATTGATACCGCAGAGATCTTATAAATCAGCTGAAAATCAATACATACTATGTGGTAGTTTCTCCTTTGCAGCCAGATCGCCAGGGGACAGAGCTAATGCTTTTTCTCCACCACCATCCCCATTTTTCTGTCGTAAAAAAAAAAAAACCTGCTTGGGAACGAATGGGCAATCTAAGTTGCTGAGTAAGGGTTTCAACTACCTAATTTTATTACGTTACAATTGACATACCTTCCCTCTGGAAATGTTTGCAATTAATTAATTAGCCGTAATCTTCCCCCAGGGACTAATTTAATGAATTCTCTCCAATTCTCACTTAAAAAAAAAAAAAAGCTTAGATGTATCCAAGCTGCAAATGTGTGGATGGTTCCAAAGTGCATTTGGAAAAATCAAGGGATCTATCTATTACGGGGCATTTTTATCACTAAATCAATCAGGCGATAACCATCATTCTTTTTCTAACGAGGAGAGTTTCCCCGGGTTGAAGGCAAGGTTTCTCCTGGCTCAAGGCCTTCGCTGGGCTTGCTCAGGTTTAGAAAGGAGCTTGTCCACAGGGGGGGGGGGGGGGGGGGGGGGCCTGCAGCTTGGTTCGTGGCTTCTTTAAGCGCGCCCCCCCCACCCCCCCACCCCCCGCCCCACCCCGCGTTCTGCAGAACCCGAGAAGAGAAAAAAGGGAGCCGGAGATGGCGCTCTAAAAGGGTGTCTGGCTTCGGGGCCGACCAGTCCCTTCCGCCGGTGCCAGATGCAACCGCGGCCCAGCCCCTGCCCTGCCCCTGCGCTCCCTCCTGGCCTCGCAAGGACCCAGGGCAGGGGAGACGGGGCTGTCCCTGACCTCGGGGCCAGATGTCCTTGCGTTTCAGCTCGAAAATAAAACGGAGCCCTTGGACCAACCCTCCCCGCCCCCTCCCCGCCCCCCATTCCTCCCGGGGTGCCCCGAGGGCCGGGAAGGGCGTTTGTAAACTGTAAGGCGCGGTGAGCCCGCAGGTGGAAGGCCAGGCTTCCTGAGGTCGCTGGCCTGCAAATCGCAAAGCCAGCGCTCGCCGGGCATTCGGGCAGCAGCCGCCAGCGCCCCGGGGAAGGGCCGTCCCTTTCCGCGGGTTGGAGGCCCTCGAGGGAGGTTGCTCCGGGCCTAGGGGTTGAGCCTTCGGGGAAGCGGAGTATAGGCGCTCGCAAACTAGAGCCGCTCTCCCCGGGCAGGCATGGAGGGCGTAGCTACCCCTTCCCAGGCCCCGAAGAGTGCCTTCGCCCATCAGTGCCCCCTGGAGGGCCCCCGGGACGAAGGGGGCTGGTCAGACCCCGAGGCCCAGCCGGGCGTCCAGGCGCTAAGCCGAGAGCCGGCCGCTCCACCGCGGCTCGCCAGCGCCACCCCCCGCGGAGCGCAGCCTCTGCAGCCCGGCCCGGCGCCTTCCTGCGGCTCCCGCTCCCCCGTCCCCACAGCCGGCGGTGAGTGGGAGGCGGCGGAGCCTCCCTTCCGAGAAGGTGCGCAGGGGTCTCAACTTGAGGTCTGCAAATGCCAGGGGTCAGACTTGGAGCGTTTCCAGGTAGATTCTGGGGGCGCCTGAACCTGGACCTCGAGGGGGCGCTATTTGACCCATTCAAGGGCCAGAGGGGCAGAGAAGCCCGGGGTCGAGGCCCTGGCAAAGGCCAGGGCGTGGAGAGCCTGAATCTAGCTAGATTTGGGGAGACTGGAGAGCAGAGCCGGATCCCCGAGGACAAAGACGGGCGGGCCAGTGGGGTTCACCCACGCCGCCCAGCGCTGCCCCAAGGACCTCGGAGGCTTGGGGCGCGAACAAACTTTGCTGCGGCGGAGGGCGGGGGAGCCGGCTGGGCTGGAGACTTCTCCCGGGGCCTCGGCTCCCTCCACCTGCGGCTGTGCGACCGCCGCCCAGCCTGCTCCCGCCCCGGCTCCTTCCCCGCCCAGCGCGCCTCTGCTCACTTAGGCTCTTCTCTCCCCTCGCCCCTCCGCCTTCTCCCTCTTGCATTTCTCCCCCACTGTCCTCCTCTCTTTCCTCCTGTGGCTTCTTTTGTATTCTCTCCTCCCTCGCCGCCCAGGTTGCTTCTCTCCTCCTCCTCGGGCCGCCGGGAGGAGGTGAGCGCGCTGCGCCTGGGGCCTGCGCGGCGCACAGGGAGGCATTTCTCCCACTTCTCCCGGGTAATTTGGAGAGGTTGTCTGTGCGCGCGCGCGCGTGAATGTAAAGCGAAAAGGGGTAGGATCCAGCGCCAAGCAGAGAGGGTCAGGGTCTTTGACATTCCTCACCAGCAGCACAAACCTCCCGGAATAAGGAATCAGTGTGGGTGGGAGTGTGCGCGCGCGCGCACGGGCTGGCTGCGCTCGGCGCGTTGGGTGGCCCGGGGTCCCAGGGCCCGGGGGCCCACCTGGCGGCCCGGGATTACCGTGACGTCACGTTGAGCCTCTGGCCACCTTGGACACCTCTGGAGCCGCACAGCCTCGCGCCGCGCCTCGCCTCACCTGGCCTCGCCACCGCGCGCCTTTGGGAACTCGCATCCTCTCCCTTCCCTGGCTCATCCATGGGCCCTTCTGTCTTCCGGACCTCGGGAGCCGGTGGAGCGCCTTCTAGAGCGCAGGGCTTGGCGGCCGGTCTGCCCTTGGCTCTGCCTCCAGTAACGCGGAGCGGGCGGAGGACCCGACGCTGGGCACCCGCAGCCGCGTAAGGAACTGAGGCAGACCCGCGGGGGCTGAGGCGGGAACAAGCTAAAGAAGAGGAAGGCGAGCCAGGCACAGCCACCATGGCCTTCCCGCACTTTGGACACCCGTATGGCAGCGCTTCCCAGGTAAGAGGCGCCTCCTTGGGGGGCGGGGGCGACTGGATGGAAGGGGTACCCAGTGCACCCGCCTGTCCCTGAGCGCCCTCCTCTCGAGTGGGTCCCCCTGGAAACCAGAGGCAGCAGGGACCAGGTAACTCTGACATCCTCAGGTCCTAGCCGGGAACCTTCCACTCCCCCAGCACTAGCTGGAACTTGGACCCTCTGACCCTGGGCTCAGCGAGGAGGGTGGGGCCTCTGAGAGCTGCCAGACAGGCCTCCTTCCTGTGCAGATGGCCTCCGAGGTGGCCAGGGGGGTCTCAGGAAAGGAGACTCCCAGTCCAGGACGCTGTCCATCGCACAACTGTCCTGCTGCTGTTCGCGGTTGACCTCTGTTCTTGTCTTCTCCCTTCCTTGGGTCGGTCCAAGCTCTCAGCTTCTGGTTCTTTCAGTTTCACAGGGTGTTGTACAGGGACCAGGGTTTCCTGGAGGAATTCTGGGGATGCCCACCACTGTTCTCCAGTTTCTCTTCAGACTGTGGGGTGTATCTTCCTGGGGTCTAGTCCCTGCCCGACCTCTGACCCGCTTGGTGACCTTGGGCCAGTCTGCACTTACTCAGGTCCTCGCGCCCTTCTGTGAGATGGGTATCTGTCTGTGTGGGACGTGACGAAGGTCTCCAAGGCCAACTTCTAGCTCTGCCTTTGCAGACCCTGTGATTGGGAAGGGGCGGGGGTCTGCGAGGGAACCAGCCCGGTGGGTTTCCGAATGTCCTCCATGGCCGGACCGGGTGGGAACCTGAAGCCCTAGCAACGGCTTAGGAGTGTCTCTAAGGGCAGTTTGGATGAATCGGGTCTTCGGATCATTCCTGTTCAGTGCTCGGCAGAATGCTGGGCACGCGGTGGCATTGAGGTGATGTGGAATGAAGGAGCGGTCCGGTGTTCGGGTCTCTGACCTCCCATGCCTTCTCTCTCGCCCCCGTAGTTTCTGGTGTCTGCAAATTCCAGCGCCACTTGCTGCGAATCCTCCCCGAGCTCTGTCCCAGACGTGGCCTCCGGCTCCACCCCGGCGGCAGCTCTCTGCTTAGCACCGTACGATAGCCGGCTGCTGGGCAGTGCGCGGCCAGAGCTGGGCACAGCCTTGGGCATCTATGGAGCCCCCTACGCGGCCGCTGCAGCTGCCCAGAGCTACCCTGGGTACCTGCCCTACAGTCCGGAGCCACCCGCGCTGTACGGGGCGCTGGTGAGTGCAAGGGGTGGGACCTGGGTCTGTGCGCCAGAACCCACCCGCCCAGGGGCAGAAGCCCCAGCAGCTTCGGGTGAAATCCATTGTGACATCTCCAGGGAAAATCTAGGAAGGACGCCCAAGTCCGAGGACAGGCAGTGGTTAGGAGTGTGTGAAGGGGAAAAGCCCATCTTTGCAACATGTTGCAGTTTGCCGAAGCCCATGCTGCTTAGGAAACATTTGCATCTCTATTCATACACGAGGTGGGCAGGTCATCACTTTCCTCAATGTGCAGCTGAGGAAGCTGAAGTCAGTACCGTGCCCAGAGTCACCGACATACCCAGGGTCAGGGACCAGCTCTGCTGGAAACTGAGGCAGGGAAGTCCCCCAGCTGGTGGGGGGAGGGGAGGGACACACAAGTGGTAACAGTAATAATAACCGCTAGCGTGTAACTACTGCTTATGCTGCACCAGGAATTCTGCCCCGCGCTCTTCTTCAATAGCCCGTGGGGACCATTATTATTATCCCCAGTTAGCAAGGGGAAGCGGGGGCGTGGAGTGGTTAGCAACTGTTCCCAAGACCACACCGCCAATGCGAGGTCCTGGGTCCTGGAATTTAAACCAGACCAGTCTCCTCTGGAGTTTACACCCTTAGCAACTGCCCCGCCTCGTCTCCTCCCCACATGGTGGGAGAACTGAATTCTGACTTCCTCCCCCCACAGAACGCACAGTATGAATTTAAGGAGACTGCAGGGAACTTCACACCCAGCCTGTCACAACCGGGAGCCTACTGTCCCTATGAGCCGACTCTGGGACAATACCCCTATGACCGGTAAGGTGTGGGGGGCACAGGTGGCTGGCATGGAAAGTCCTGCCCTGTCCATGGCCCAGGTAGGGCTGATCTGGGCAGTGAGTGGGGAGGGGAATGAGCAAGCGGGGAGGGACGGGCTCAGAGCCCATTCCCAGGCCACACGCCCTCTCCCGCCTGCTGCCCCAGGTTGCCAGCCCCAGGACCCTGAGCCAGGTTCTCTCCCCGCAGGTACGGCAGCACTGTGGAGTTGACTGGTGCCGGGCGCAGGAAGAACGCCACCCGGGAAACCACGAGCACGCTCAAGGCCTGGCTCCAGGAGCACCGCAAGAACCCCTACCCCACCAAGGGCGAGAAGATCATGCTGGCCATTATCACCAAGATGACCCTCACCCAGGTGTCCACCTGGTTCGCCAACGCGCGCCGGCGCCTCAAGAAGGAGAACAAGATGACGTGGGCGCCCAAGAACAAAGGCGGGGAGGAGAGGAAGGCAGAGGATGGGGCCGAGGAGTCGCTGGGCTGCCTACCCGGCGGTGACACCAAAGGTACCAGCGGTGAGCACCACCCCAGCTGCCTGCCTGGGGGGTAGCTTTTATGGAAGGCACTGCTCGCTGACCCTGGCTCATGCATCCCCTGCAGGCCTCAGGGCCTGTGCCTGCTGGTACCCTCTGTCCCGCCTTCCCTACAGAACCAGTTTCTTCTGGACTTTAAAGTGCCACCTCTCCAGGGCCCTTCCTGGCCGCCTAAGCCAGCGCAGCCCTCTGGTTCTTCTCTATGGCCAGCCCCTCCTATTTCCTTCGCCACCTTTGCACTGTGACCCCTTCAAGAACCTCAGTGCCTCCAGAAGCCCTTTCCCTGAATGAATGCTTAGGTGATGTCTGGCACAAACTTAGCCCTTCGTCCGTATGTGCTGAATCACATCCTACCCACCAGCCACCCGTGCGTGTGGAAATGCAGGAGAAATTATCCCCTTGCCTTTATATGGTTGAGAGACGGAGACCCAGGTCTTAGCGACAGCAACACGGTGTGGGTTCCCCTGGCCTGGGGGCGAATACAGAGGAGGAGAGGACCGGTGGGGTGGGGTGGGGTCAAGGCTGGGGCCAGGGTGAGGGCTGGTGTGGTCAGTCTGGTGGATGACTCCCAGAATGCCCTGAGAGCAGGGCGCATCTCGCTAAAAGCTTCTGGGGATGGGCACTCCCGCGGATTTCCCTGGGGGCCTGGCGCTTTTCTCACTCCCTCCTGATGTCCTGCAGACCTCGCTGCGAGCCGGGAAGCTCGGGGATTCCGGCTGAGTGACCTGGAGGACCTGGAGGAAGAAGAGGGGGAGGAGGAGGAGGAGGAGGAGGAAGAGGAAGAAGAGGAGGCAGCGGTCCCAGCTACGGACAGGCTCGCTGAGTTCCACAAGGACGCGCAGGCGCGGGGGACGCCTTGCGCTGCAGCTCCAATGGGCCGGCGGGAGCGCAGGGAGTGCGGCCTGGCGGCGCCCCACTTCTCCTTCAATGAGCCCCCGGGATCGGGAGAAGCTGACTTCCTCCGGGCGGAGCCAGGGGCCCCCACCCTGACCACGCACTACCCCTGCAGCCAGAAGCCGCGCATCTGGTCCCTGGCGCACACGGCCACAGCCAGCGCTGCCGAAGGGGCACGTCCCACCCCGCCCAAGCCGCGAAGCCCCGAGTGCTGCCTGATTCTCCGACAGCCCGCAGGCCCCGGCGGGCGACCCCCGGTCCTCAGAGACTCCGCGCGCGAGGAGCCCGGCCGCGCAGCCAAAGCCTTTGGGAAGCCCCCGTTTGCGATGCAGGGGCTGCCCCTGAGCTGCGCCCCGTGCCCGCGGCGGAGGGAGCCCGCAGGGCAGTGCCAGTACCCGTCGGGAGCAGAAGGTAGTGGGCCCCCAATGGCGCTGGGACTGTGTCCAAAAGACGCCTGCCCGTGTGCTGCCCAGCCATGGCATGCCCTCTCGGACCCTTGGGCACGGCCGGGGTCCACCTGGCAGGAGATGGTCCCACAGCACTCTTTGAAACGGAAGCTTAGAGACAGCGGTTCTAGCGTTCCCTCATTTTAAAGCCAAATAATAGCAATAAGCTCCGAGTGAGACAGTGACGTGCCTGGGGTCACCTAGAAAGTCACTGAGGAGATGGGCAACCCACCCCTCTGCACTGGCACCCACTGACCTGCCAAATGCACCAGGTGGGCACCATCACGACCCTCTGGCACAGATGCCCAGGCCCCCCTGCCCGCCCTTCAGAGGAGGGCAGTGAGCCCCTGCCATTCGAGGGATGGGCAGGCACCTGGGCTCCCCGGAAAGTGTGAAGGGCAGGGCCAGACGCACACAGTTTGCAAGGCCGGTGCTTAAGAGAGAGCTTCCAATCCTCTCTACAGCCCACAGACGGGGGGAGCCCCGGGTTGGTGATGTCCTTGGAGCGCACTCAGCCCCAAGATCACCCCTAAGCAGGGTGTGACTGCCAATCCGTTTCTCCTTCCCTCTCCTCCCTCCCCGCTGGTTCCCTGGCCAGGCCTGGCGGGAGGAAATTTCACCCCCACAAAAGGCCATTCCCCCAAGAAATTGGCAGCCTCCAGCAATTACTGTCAGATTCTGCTCTTTGTAGTCATTTCTCTCAGGATTAGTTGCGGGCTTAGGAAATTGGGTTACATTGTTATTTGAATTTACACACAAAGGGGTCCGAATGTTACCTCTGGCGAGCCAATTGCTTCTAGAGACCTTTGATTCCCTGCGGAGGAGGCACCCCTGACCTCCAATTATTCGAGGAATCGCCACCCAGCGGCCCCCGGGTTTTAATCAACCTTTCCTCTCTCAGCAGGTTAGCGCCCCGGCGCGATTTGCGGAAGCATCCTGGAAACCAGCCCTCCTTTCCCAGCTCACCTTCCCTCCAAGAAGCGGGGAGACCTCACCAGGAACTGGGGGCTCTCCCTGCGCGTAAGAGACGGACAGACACACAGAAACCAACCCTCCCGCAGGCTCTCCTTGCACGCGGAGCTGGCAGTGGGGGCACAGGGGGACAGACACACAGAAACCAACCCTCCCGCAGGCTCTCCTTGCACGCGGAGCTGGCAGTGGGGGCACAGGGGCGGCACCTCAGACCCCAGAGGAAGTGGTAGGTTACCTTGGGGAAGGCAGGGCGAGTCTGCCTCCCTCCTCTGGATTCAGAGTCTGAGCTGCTCCCTCCCCCCGTCACCCCCGCCCCCTCACTTTGTAACGTCCATGCTGACCTGGCCCCTAAGGATCACCTATGTCTACCGCCCCCCTCCTACCCCCCAATTCCTTTTGTCCTTAAAAATAATCAAGCCGGACCTAAGCTGTGTGGCCTCTCTGTGAGCGGGGCGATTGGAGAGGTGGGGGAGGACGGAAAGTGGCCAGGGGTTCCGGGGACAGGGCAGTGTGGGCTGCAGACCTCAGTCCCCAGTTTCTGGGAGAGAAATTGACAAGGTTTGAGCCAAGGCCCCGGCGCCTGCAGCTCAGCCCACGGAACTCTGCGCGCACCCAGCTCCCTGCGCCCGCCCGCGGGCTGATTCCTGGGCGCCATAGGAGGGGATTGCAACTGCGAGGTCAGGGATGGTGGGAGCTGCCAGGGTTTTTGTCTGGAAGCTGCGTGTGTTCCCCTCGTACTTGGGTTTTAAGTTCACTGGGAGGATGGGACAAGGAGGATCTTCGTGGAGGTCCCCTGGCACTGAGCGCTGGGACCCCGCGCTCCTGGGATGGGACGGAATGGCGAAGTCTGACAGCTGGCCAGGGGGAGGCCGGACGGGTTATTCTTTCCTTAAACCGGTGTCAGGAAACACTTCCAGTCTGGGCCCACCAATGGGAGCGGGCGGGCGGGGAAGGGGGCTTGGTCCCTCTGTGTGGGGAGCAGGGCTGGGGTGCGGAGGGATGAAAGATTTCAAGATGCCAGCGCAGCGCCAGAGCGCGCGCGCGTATGGGCGCAGTGGCTTTGCTTTCAGCCAGCGCGCAAGCTCGCAGATGCCCAGGGGACAGAGGGAGGAGCATCAGGGGTCGGGGCCTAGTGGGGAGCTCCGGGGAGCGGGGAGCGGATGGGAGCGGGGATGACAGCTGGGGTGTGCGCCTGTGGGCTTGACCCTTGAGCAGCTGGGCCTGGGGGGGCGGGATAGCCTTTCAGACCTGCAGGGGTGCCAGCCGGCCAGTCCCCGGAGTCTGGGGTGGAGAGGGTCCCTGTCCTGGGGGGAAGGGAGGGAGAGAGATTTTAAGACCCGTGGAGGCTGCAAAGGAAGGGGGTGGTTAAACTGGGGGACCAGCGACAGGCTACCTCCCTGACCCCTCCCCTCCCTGCCCCCTCCATCTTCCTTCCATGATGGGAGTCAGGGCAGCTGTGCCCTGATCTTGCTGCCACACCCCTTGTGCTTTAAAGAGAAGCCTTGGGCGAGGTGAAGAGAAGCCAAGCCTCTTATATGAATTTCAGTGTCTGCAGAGGGTGAAGGCGGAAGAAAGAACTGACCTTCTGCTCCCAGGAGCGAGCATTTCTGCAGCTCCCTGGCTGGCCTAGCTTGGGGTGGCTCCAACCCCACCAAGGACCAGGGTGGGGCAACAGTAGTTTTCCAGTGAAGCGAAGTGACAATATAACAACAGCTGGTCGCATGGAAAAGTAATACAATAATTAATACATAATAACACAAGCATGAACTCTATGATTCGCGCACACCTTCGACTGAAAATCTATGCAGCCTGCTTTATCGCTGCTCTTTATTTTTTGAAAAGGAAACATCTTTGGTGACCAGCATCCCACGTCAAAATTGAGACTGTGTGACCCAGGGGGCCTGGGACTCAGGGAGAATTCTGCCCACCACCCGTCTCTGCCAGATTATTTTTCCCAGAACCCCAGTTACTAATCCTGCCAGTCATCTTCTCATACATAAGCTTTCTATGACTTCCAGCCACCAACCAAATAAAGTCCAACTCAGGCACTCACAGATCTTAGCCCTACAATTGGACCCCAATGCAATGGGACAGGACCTGGAGTTAGTGCAGGCTCTACAGGGTCAGAGCACTGTCCCCAGTAAGACTGCCCTCACTTCAGACACCAGCCACAATTTTTTAAAAATATTTTTTTTATTGATTTCAGAGATGAAGGGAGAGGGAGAAACATCAATGATGAGAGAGGATCATTGATTGCACCAGCCACAATTTTGAGGGCTCCTCACGTCACCTGAACTTCTGACCAAAGGGCTATAAATTTGGGGGTTCCCATGACCATGGTGCCTTGATATCCCCTCTGATTGGTCACTATTCCCCCAGACTGGTTACTACAGTAACTCCTAGGCTCAAAGGTCGAACTTCACCTGGGACATGTAAAGTTCTCCCCCCTCCTTCCTCATTGTTTTCCTAGTCCCCTTGGGCTTTCTTCTTCTGGATAAAGGTCTTCCTTTTCTTTATTTTGTAAATATAGACCTTTTGCTGTTCCCAGCTCCCTCATTCTATGGAAATGTGCCAGTTGCAGCTTTTTAGCTTCCCTGTTTTATGGAAATACACCTTCTCCTGCTCTGCAGCCCTGTGCTTCCTCCATGGTCCCCTTAATTTCCAGAATTTCTAAAATTTCCTAAAACTTTACTATTTTACCCCCCAAATTCCTGGTTCATCAAGAAGATGGCCATCTGCAAGCCAGGAAGAGGGACCCAAATTACTAACCGGTAAATATTTACGAAAAAATCCGCATTATTAGCTGGTACGACTATTAGCAGGTGCGCCGGTTAATAATGTGGATTTTTCAATGAAATATTTACCAGGTGCACCGGTTAATAATACGGATTTTTTCATAATATATGCTGGTTAATAATGCGGATTTTTCAATGACGTATATACAGGTATATATAAAAAGATTCAATTAATCCTTCCCTAACAAATATCTTAGATAAAGACAGCCCAGAGAGTGATTTATTTCTTCTCTATGTTGAAACGCATCATGACACCAGCTCCTGGGAGCCGTGTGGAAGCCCCACTCTTCTTTCATCCGGGAGGAGACTGTTCTCCCCCTTCCGCTCTGAGGACCTTCTCCGCTTCCTCATCTGTGTCCAGCCACTGTGCAAAGCCAAGTGCAAAATCTTCCTTAAAGACCATGACCCACAAAAATACAAAGCCCTTTCTCAGATGAGGAAATGGAGGCCAAGCGGGAGGGCAAGGGACTGGCTCAGGGTCACAGAGTCTGTGCTGGGAGGGACCCCAACATTCCACTCAGGGTCCTTTTTGGTTCCTCCTCCCCTCTCCCCCAACACCACACACACACACACACACACACACACACACACACACACACTTCCTCTGGGAAGTCCCTTCCCTGCATTCCTTCTGCTTATGGACACAGATGTGCCTGTCCCTGCTCCCGGGGGACCCTCCAGCCACCCTCACTGACCCGTGGCTTAGGGTCCGGAAAATTAAACTGCGAAAAGATAAACATTATTTCCAGTCGGCTTTGCAGGATTAAGGCTTGTAATAAAGAGCATTAGCTAGAGGTTTCTTTCAAGGCGCTCTCAACCACGCCTCCTCCTTAGGGACTATGTAGACACCCCCCCTCCCAGCTTGTTCCTGGGGTCCCGTTGGGTGTGGGGCTCCAGCTAACCATTCTATGGCCAGAGAGGCCCCTCAGCACACACTGAGCCAGCACTCGCAGCAGATGGGGAAAGTGAAGGCCCCAGAGAAGGCACCCACCCAAGGCAGAGGCCACGTGGCTGATCAGGGAGTAAAGGATGGAGGCTGTTGGGGGGGAGGGGGGGGGTCGGGCGCGGGGATCTGACCCGCACACGGCCTCCAGCCAGCCAGCCTTTTCCAGGAACAGTGAGCCTTGGGGAAGAAAGCCCACCTGAGCCGTCCGGCCTCACCTCCAGGACCTCAGAAGGGTGTCTCTCCATCTCTTGT